AAAAAATTATGTTTACTGTTTGTTCAGACTAGTTGATGAGCACAAATGACCTGAAACAGCACAATTCTTGAGTTTTTTAGGGACAACTTAATTGTTCCATGTTTAATCAACTTACATTTGTAAAAATAACTAATAAGCTAACTTAATTCCTTAATGTTGAACACAAATCAGATTTTTGGAACCCAGTATTTTTACAGCGCATGTATATTCCAGGTCTTTGGATAAAACTGCTTTAAACCTATATATACAGTTGCAGTCAGAATTATTAGTCCCCCTTTAAATTTATTTTCTTTTTAATATTTTACAAATTATGTTTAACAGAGCAAAGAAATTTTTACAGTATGTCAGATAATATTTTTTCTTCCGTCTTATTTGTCTTATTTCGGCTAGAACAAAAACAGTTTTTAATTTTTTAAAAACCATTTTAAGCTATATTTTTTCAGATTGTCTACAAAACAAACCATCGTTATACAATAACTTGCCTAATTACCCTCTCCTGGCTAGTTAACCTAATTAACCTAGTTAAGCCTTTAAATGTTTCTTTAAACTGTATAAAAGTGTATTGAAAAATATCTAGTAAAATATTATTTATTGTCATCATGGTAAAGATAAAATAAATCAGTTATTAGAAATGAGTTATTAAAAGTATTATGTTTAGTAATCTGTTAAAAAAATTCTCTCCGTTAAATAGAAACTTTTTACATTACTTTTTACATTTATTTATATAAATGTAAAAAAAGCAATTACAAAGTAAATCTTCTATGTGCGTAATTCTAAAAATTGCATTAAGTCAACTTAACAGTTCGAAGTTACAGCTGGTTTGCTCGTTTTTTAGTATGTGAATTTGACACTTTTAAGGCAATAGGTTGACTAATTTTAAGTAAAATGACAAAGTATTACATTGTTTTAGTTACTTATTTTATACATCATATGACAGCATAGACAATAATATCAATATTACATACAGTTAAAAAGTTAAGAAAACACCCCTCACTGACAACAGTTTTCACTAGAGTTTTATGGTATAAACCACCAATTTGGACTAACGGAATACAATCTATAAAGTGAAATCCGGAATGTCAACGTTTTTAAAGAAATTTCATCATAACGCTGGGCAATTTGGCCTATATCAAAATCTACTTGAACATTTTAACTTGATTACGATTAATGATTGATTATTTTATTTATTTATTTAATGTTTTTGCCCTCATAGTTTTGTAAAGTAAATATGCTCACATATTACAAGTGAGAGATTTTTTAATGTAGGGTGCATTACTTGATTTTAAAATAAATTAACAAAACACAAACTATCTACGATCTCTGATTATTTTTTGAACATCAATGCTGTACAACTGAAAATTAAAACATGCACTGGCTAAAACGCAACTCTCTGCGCCTACGAAACTGACCAATCACAAAGCTTGTGCTTTGCGTGATTGTGACATGTTAGTACATTTTTTGTGAGGTGCATGGGGATGCCGGACTGTACACATGCCCTTGGCAGAAGTATAATATCAGAATAATATAATAAGTATAACTAATTATATAATAAGTATAATTTAGTCTTAACAGAGCAGGGTCATGTGAGTCCACACAGGTTAGGGAAAGTAATTGAAAAAAATTTACCTGGAAAATTAGATCGATTATAGATTCTGAAGATTGATTTTGATTACTTTTCGATTAATCACCCAGCCTTATTTCATCATCCATCCTAATATAAATCTCTAAGGTACCTGTATTGACCCATTTTAGTTGCAAATGTGTACCTTTTAAAGATGTACCATCCCAGTTACGTCTTATAGTCTCTTTATTTCTGACATTATAACTTTAAAACAAAAATAACACTGATAAAAAGAAGTATACACTTTACTACTTACCGATATATGGAGGGATGTGGGGCATACATGTAATTATCCTTCAAAGCTCCGCCTCCCCAGCAGAGCAAATAACAAGCCATCAGCCTAGCCCCGCCCCTTCACACCTAACATATCCAGGTGACTTGCTTAAATATGCAGCATCCAATCTTCCACATTCCGGCCCTTCCCTGAACCTCCTATAGTCCAGAACTAGCCTGAGGAGGTTTTTGAAGAAATCTGACCCTCTGCCTCTGTAACTCCTCAGAACTGGCATTAGTCCTTTAGTTGTCCCGTTGCTGGTGCTTTTATCCCACTCTGAACTTTTGCAAGCTCTTTTTGTGCCCACAGTCAAATCAGATACAACGGTTCGTCTGTCTTTTTTTCTGCCGGCTGTTCCCTCCTCGCACTTCCCTAGTTGTGGATGTGAATGTGTGTTCCTCTTCTCTTGTCAGCGGAGCTATTTTTCGCTGGTGGATATGCCCTGTATTTCCTCTCACAACAGTTTACTCCCCCTTTTCCCCTCTCTCCAAGCCTCTCTTCCTCTCTTTGTCTTGCCTTGCTACTTTGTCCCTGCCGCTGATCTCCATTTCAACATAGTGCTGAACACACAGTGCGCATCTATCCATAATCAATTCTAAAGGCCAGAATTATGTAGTGGACTCTATAATAATGATCTGTGGCTTTCTTTAATATGAATAATTAAAATTATTAATAAAAATATAATATAGAAATAATATAGAAATATGTGTAAAAAAAAAGACTAGTGAAACCCTTTACTACTCTCTCTATTTGAAATCCTGAAATCACACAACATGTTAATCTGGCCTCTCCATGGAGACTGACTACGTGCTTCTGGCAAAGCTCCAGGTATATCTGGCCCCATGGTAGGAGCGGGAATGTAGTGGATGAGCCAGGTATCAAAGCAGACAGTGTCGGCTTTCAGTCTTAATAACCAGACTAAACCTCAGATGAAACAGCCAAACAATGCTCCTTATTGTAGAGGACCAGAAAACCCAATACCATGATAAAGTACCCTTCTGAAGGTTGCAAAACACTGCTAAACTCTTAATCAGTTTTCCAGTTAAATATCCTTAAATCAAGAAAACGTAGCAAAATGTTTCTCTCCACCATTTAAAACATACATTTTAACTAATTAAAATCAGAAAATCTATTTGTCCATGGGTAACATAAAATGAGTCCGATAATTTCAAGATTAAGCATGTTTTATTGTCTTATGTAATTTTCATCTGATGTAAATCTAATTGTTATGTTTTGTATTTAAAAAAATAAGTATTTATTCATTCTTTCATTAATCTTTCGGCTTAGTTTGTATTTCAGAGGTCGAATGAGTGGAATGAACCACCAACTTTTCCAGCTTATGTTTTACACAGCGAATGCCCTTCCATCACTGGGAAACCTATGCACACTTATTTACACATGCACTCATACACTTCGCCCAATTTAGCTCACCCAATTCACTTATGTCACATGTCTTTAGACTGTGGGGGAAACCAGAGCACCCAGAGAAACCTACGTGAATACAGGTAGAATATGCAAACAGAAATGCCAACTGGCCCAGTCAGGACTCGAACCAGCGCCCATCTTGCTGTGACACAACAGTGCTAACCACTGAGCCATCGTGCCACCAATTTATTTAATTTTTCAGCATGAATTTATTTATGTTTCTTTATTTTAAATCTTTAGGAAATATCTTTGGTACATCAAATGTGGCTATGATGACCACCCGACAAGCTAATCCAGCTAAAAATAGTGCTAATGTCACTAAAATGCTAAATTTAAATCTTACAATAAAATAGAAAATAAGATGAATAACTGCAAAAAGGTCCACTACTTGGGGAAAAAAAGAACCACTCCATTCACTAGGCTGGCTACAGGCCTGAGGAACTGGTAAATAGTTGTTGGTTAAAGAGATAGTTCACCTAAAAATAAAAAATATGGTCACATCTTACAGTGTAAGTATTTGTTTAACTATTTAGTAATAGTAGTTCATTTCAATACAAAAACTTATAATATGGTAAGTGTAAGAAATCAGGTTAGGTTTTGGGTTAGTTGTTAGTTATGTAAAATTAATTATAATTACTATAGTAACCACACATACCATGTGTAACAATTATACTTTATAAAAAGTGCTATCAAATTTACTCGCCCTCACAAAAGAATATATTTTGAACAACGTTGGAAACTGGTAATCCTTGACATTAGTAGGAAAACAATACCATGGAAATAAATGACTACCAGTTTCCAAGATTCTTATATATATTTGTTTGTGTTCTACAGAATAAAGATGTTCATTTTGGCATGAATTATTCCTAAATTGTGTTATTATTTACAACCTTGTTGTAAAGTTTTTATTTTTATTTTATTATTTTTTTTATTGGAAAGCAAAATAAAAAAGCTGATAACATTTGCAAGTACTGATTTAGAGCAGCACACTGATTCATTATGACAGCAGACAGGAAGGAGTAGAAAGAGATTAAGGCCTAAACCCAAATCTGACCCTGAGGTTGTGAGTCAGCCACACCTCCGGAAGGATCTTACGTAGTAATTCTCTAAGGAACACTAACTCAGGAACCTTATGCTTAATATGAATAAATAGATCTCTGTGGATGATTTTGGGCAAGCATTGTATGTTTACACAAAAAAAAAAAAAAAAAAAACAGTCTTGGACAAAAGAAAATCTACACTTCATTCATCATGTGCCCATCCCAAGCCAAACAGAGCACTGAACATATTCAGCATAGCACTGCCCTCTAGTGGCAAATATTCAAATTGACAATTACTTTTTGTAAACCTAATCTAAACTACAAATTCTATTAAACCCATTTTCCATGTGGTAACTGAAATAGGAAAAATGTGTAATTTACTTAAAGCTGTGAGAGTTTTCTGTCATCAGAACAGCTGCTTGCATTTTAAGACCAACTATAGCTTGAGTGAGAACAACAATCATTGTGTGTGTGTGTGTGACTACAATGCCAGTAGTTCCTCCTCGAATGTGGATAATTACAGTTATTCTCCCAAGTGTTTATTTCTCCAGGGGGGTTGTGTGTGTTTATATTTTAGTAACATATATGCTGACAATCTGTGATGAAATATTTATGAAGGTACCCTCAGGCCGCAACTAACCTTTTGGTGGCATCGCTGTCAGAATCAGGCCTGTGTGTTTGCTCAGAGTGAGATCCAGTGCAGAACAGGCCGTCTTCTTCACAGACACTGCTTCGATCCTCTCTATGTAGGTCCTGTGATGCCACTATGAGATGAGACACAGTAGGTGGTTCTGGGCATGTTAGCGAAGCAAAATTCAATTCAGTGATCTGCTTGGCACTTTCACAGATCTGACTCTGGATCTCAGGTGTGAGTGTTGGAAAGTCAAAAGTGAAGATTGGAGGGCCACTAGGGGTGATATCTTCACTATCCAGGCTACTATAAGAGGTGCCCTTGGCACGGTGCGACTCCATGATACTCTCAAAGTGTCTGCTGAAGGTGTCTAAGCAATCTGAGGACACCCGGCAGGGGCTGGTCACAGAGATGGGAGACTTCAAATCCGTGTGGCTGTCAGGCTGGTAATCTAGTGGACTACAAGAAGAACATACATTGTACTGTTATTTATGGTATGTAAATATGCAAATATGAAAACACACATTCTAAAATTTAAATAATAAAGTTTAAATGTAAAAGTTAATACTGCAGAAAATAAAAGCCCCACTAACTAGCCCAACCTCTTGCCATTGTGTAAATTTGTGCTACAGGGTAATGTGTTACACACTCACCCTCTTAGCAGTCGACTAAATACTTCGTCTCCCTCAGGTGTGGCATTTTGCCTCTTTTTGTCACCTTGCATCCTTACACTGGCCCAGCTTGCCACCTCTTCATCTTGCAGCTCCTCCTCACCATCAGTGTGTGGGCACAGCACTCCATCCAGAGGGCTGCTGCTGGTGGTGCCTGAAGTGCCCAGCACACTGCGGTTACTACCAAAAGCAGAGTCAACCTCCTCCTGTTCTGCCAGCATGACCTCATCAAGGTCTGTTTCCCTATAACAGCGCAGGGGCACTGCGTCTATGTCTGTCTCTGAATATTTGACAGTACGTCTAATGATGCCAGTCTTATTGGAGGTCCCCACTGTGGGATGATGGCTGATCAACTCCACTTCTACTTGCTGTACATCTTGACATGATGATTTTGAAGAGCCAATTGATTTATAATGTCTTGAATGTGTTGTTACAGGCCTTAGGTGGGTAGACAGGGGTGGAATGGGCGTCGGGGACTCACTGGAGCAGCCACTAGAGGATGGAGTGGAGGAGTCTGGAATGTGCATTAACAAAGGGATTAAAGCTGATTACTTTTGAACAACACAAGGTAATATATACATTGCTGTGTGTACAGATTTTATACTTCAGTACAAAGTTTATCTTAATCAGAGATGTGCAATCCTGTTTCTGGAGGGCCACAGTCCAGGAGAGATTAGCTACATGCCCAATAAACACACCAAATCCCGCTAAACAAGGTCTTCAGAATCACTATAAACTTCTAGGCAAGTAAACTGATCTCAACTAAATTCTGCAGAATGTTAGCCCTCCTAGACCAAGATTGGATACTCCTGTACAAAGTAGACAATACATATCCATACAGTTAAGTTTAGTGTTTGTAATTCAGCTTTACTGAACAGTAAATGGTAACTAGACATGTTTTAATTATTAGTACAGAAGCTTTCATCCAGGTAAATGTATAAATAAGGACAATCCTTCTTAATCTAGGTGCTAAATGATAGCAATATGTATGCTAAAATATAACTAAATTATGCAGATGTAACAAAATAATTTTAAAAACATTACAATAAAGAGAAAGCGTAGCACATTGAGAATTGATGAAAAAATCAAAAAGCCAAGTTAACTAGAGAAGGTAACACCTAATGTCATGGTATAGAGGATGAGACTTGTTGCATAATTGGATTAAGCGCTCATTATGAGTCAAACAGCTTGTTTACATGAAGAGGCCAATGAAAAAAGGAAGAACATCTTTTTAAAGAACTGGCTTTTGGTAGTCTGAGTTGGACATTTCTGAGAATTTCACACCTTTTGTTTGTTGGTCTTCAGAGTGGGACCCAAACAGGAACTCCCATTTGGCACGAGCAATCTTCTGTGAGTGCAAGGAAGGCCTCTGCAAACATGTTGCATTTTCAGACTACAACCCAAAATGACTTGATCAGACATCATTACCACACACTGAATCTGAGCATGAGATGATAAAGATGTGTAACAAGAAGGTGAACTTACCTGTATGGCTGTGTTTCCAGAGTCAGAACTCTTCTGGCTGGTTCTGCTAGATGTCTCAGAGGATATGTGTTTTTTTTCATGTAGAGTGCTCTCCACAAGACTACCTTTGACTCCACTGGAGCTCTGTGATGCTGTACCACTCCACTCCTTTTTAGCCCGATTGTGACCTTTTATCTCACTGTGTGGCACTGAGACACCACAGTGGTTGTCTGGAGAGCCTGGTGTATTTAGACTATTCCTCTTTTGATTATTTACTTCCATCAAGCTTTTCTTGTCTCTGGTAAAGCATTCCTCTAATCCATGTTTTTCCTGAGAGGTCCAGGTTGCAGATGTATCTGTGTTTGGCCTAGTGAAAGACCTTCTGATGATGTCTGGACTGTCTTTGTGACCTCTGAGTGTATCATGCAGCTGGCCGTCATAGGTGGGTGTATGATTGTCTCTTGTGTACTGGGTAGGTAGGTGACGATGTAAAGTGGGGCTGTCCTTTCCCACTAACTGTGTTCTGTCTATCTGTGGGTCACGTATGGGAGATGATGATTTTACATCAGATCGGTTCAACCTTGCTGGAACTGCGGGAGAAGTACTTCCAATGTTGGACAAAAGAGGGGTCGATTGAAAAAATTGATAACCAGTCTTGACAGAAGTCTGGAAGTTTTTCCTGTTGTGCTCATGAGCAGGAAGGTTACAGTTAGAGTGTGATTGTGCTTCAGAGTCCTGGGGCTCCCGTGAATGTCCCCTCTGGGGACTATCAGACCTCACTGTGTCTGTTGATGATGGGGTTGGTGATGGAGTCCTCCTGGCTTCCATGAGTACAGAGAGTTTAGTGGCTTCCTCTGCTAATTTACGAGCTGTATCAGGACTTGTAGCTGGGGATATGCTCCTCTTTTCGCTCAGTTGATTAACTACCTTTTCTGCTTTAGTTTTGGAGTTGCCCAGGTGGAAATTGACTCTATGGGATTGCCGTGGACTGTCACTCATGGAATGACTGATTTGTTGATTACTGGGAGATTGAGTTACAATCTTAGCTGGTAGTTCATGTTGAATAGCTGTAGGCTTACAAGATGGTAAGTTTGGGCGAAGCCTAGACCCTTGCACTCTTTGGTTTGAGATCTCCTGAGTGTTAACAGTTGAATTTGAAATGGTGAAGTAAGCTTGTTTGGCATGGTGTGACAGTTGATCTGTAGCTGGGCTCCTAGGAAGTCTATAAAATGAACTGTTCCTCTCATGGTCCATGATTGTTGCTTTAGTAGGCAGAGTCCTAGAACTGGATGGTATCACTGGTGACCCAGACCAAGACCTACAGCGACGTTGCTCTACTTTCCTGATGTCATGACCTCTATCATGACAGTTGCCTGCCAGTTTTTGCCTTAGTTGTGGGGAACCAAATTCATCCAATGCTTTATGGGTTGCTTCTCTGGCAACATCTAGAGTAGCCCGTCTAAAGCTGGGGCTACCTATATGTGGGTTCCCCAAACCCTGACTAAGTTGTTTTGAATTACAGTTGTTCATAGACTCAAAGCTATTAAACCACACTGGGTCACTAAGCCTTTTCTTGAGGTGAAGGGAAGTTGCTCGATCCTCCATATTTTTTTTAAAAGGATTCTGAGGCTCATTTTGGCACAAAGAGCTATACTGACTCTCAACAGATTTAATTTTAGCTTTTTCGATATAACTAAAAGTGGCAATAGATCTTCTCCCTTCATCTCCTCCCTTCATTTTTATTGGGCTGCAAACCTTACGAGTTCCACTAGGAGTAGGAGGGGCGGTAAACCGTCCTGAGAAGTGAGGTTCTCTACCAAAGGAGTCACGTTCAGAGGGAGAACACACCAAGTGACATTTGTTTCCAGTGGTTCCTGTTTGGAGGACAGAGAGTAACTGGCTTATCTCATCATAAGGTAGGTTTTTTTGGTGCTGGGTTGTCGATTGGTCAGAGTCAAGACCTGGATGTAGCTGAAAACTTACAGAGTGTCTAGATGTTGATTTACAGGAGGCCAGGCTCTGGGTGCTGCTTCCACCTTTATGCAGGACTCCACGTGGGGATACCCGGCCATGTGGGGCATTAGGGCCAACAATCTGAGATTGCTGAATAATGTCTGGTGCTGCCAACATAGGGGAATCTGTTCTCTCCACATCTCCCAGGTCTTTTCCTTCTTCATCAGGAACAGATCTCACCTCTACATAAAGGTGGAGAATTTTACCTGACTGAGACATGGCTGACAAAATAGCAGCCTGAAGATCTGTCTTATAGCACAACACCTGTTGTCCGCAATTGATTAATGATGCTGGTCATTGTGTTTTCTCTTGAAGTTTGTTTCCTTTCACACCCAAGAGAGAGTATAAATGACTTCAACATTATCTTCAAGATCACCTATAAGAGACAAATAAGAAGAGCATCTTAACTCAAACTTTACATTAACTGTTAGAGCAGGTTTAATCAGTTAGGGAAAAAATCCAGGTTTTGTGACCCATTGTCTTTTAAATAATATCAATAATGTATTGCACATTACGTAGATCAGTCAGATTTTCTAATCAATCAAACAAGTTATACAGTATCATACATGCAGTATGGTATATGCTAAATTTAGCAACATGTTATAGTTAGCAACATGTTATAGAAAAATAAACTTGTTTGAAATGACACTTAAAAAGGAAGAAACTGGTCTAACTCATTTCAAACACTGTGAAAAGACACCTGTATTCTAACCGCATTAGTGCTTGTTTGCTTATACTGTCCTCCTTCAAACCAAGCTGAGCGTGTTTACTAATGGCAAGAGGATCTAAATGTGTGACATGCTAATTAAAGAATGTAAAGCAAACTCCACAAACGTAAGCACCTCAGAATTGCTGCTGGCTCTCTCACTCCCTCTTCATATTACTGTACACACTGCAGTGGTGACTAAAATCCACTGTAGCTCCTTTAGAGATACTAACAGGTACTTGTCTATAGCCAATTTAAGTACAAACTTAGATGAAATAAGGATGATAAAAGATTTAAACCTTAGATGTAATAAGATGTTAGTCATGCAGCTCATATGCAAACCCTTGCTAGTTTAACCAGATGGAACCTGCAATCAAATCATATCTTGGAAGCTGCGAAGTACCTCATATACTGCAAATCCATCTCCTCTAATCCCTTTAGAAAAGCCTAAATATCTGCAGTCACCTTTATAACACTGCAAAGTCAGTTTATATTAAATGAAATCAACCTACTGCATATCCCAATAGCTCAGAGAAGAGACAAGGTTCATCGTTACAGACTGCCTTCGAGGATTCACTCTCTTTGATGCACATAAGCCAGTCTAACCCCTCACATGCTAGTCTGACACAGCTGTTTGTGTTCTGTCGGCTCTTCTGAGAGCAGAGAAGTGTGGCTGGACGTGTGCCAGGTGTTGCGCTCAATTGATTGAGTTGTATGCACCCTGCATCATGACCACCACTGCAGTTGTGGGGGAGGAGGTGGAGAAGGATAGTGCATAGTTTTCCCTCAGAAACCAAACGCTTGTTCTGGATAAATGTTTCTCCCTCTTTCATGTTTTGTGCACCAAACAAATACTCAACACTGTTACAAATAATGCTACTGAGTCAAACCCCACAGACAGGTAAGGCAACTAATACCTCAAATAACTCTCAGCTTTAATTGTAGTCATTCAGAATGACTCAAATGTTTGGACGAAAAAGCAAATTTCACGTTCTAATCCACTCTAGTCTTCCTGCAGCCTTTTAGCTAAATGTACCGACTGTATACTGTTTGTCTAGTAAGTTTATCCCTTTTACATTTTTTAAGGTAACGTGACAACTTGAAATTGGTTCCCTTTTATTCAACTATTTTGGTCAAATTTCTTAGTTGAAAGATTAAAGCCACATATATGACAATGTCAGATATTTGTGCTTATTCATTCATTCATTTTCCTTCGGTTTAGTCCCTTTATTTATCAGAGGTCACCACAGCAGAATTAGCCGCCAACTTATCCAGCATATGTTTTACACATCGAATGCCCTTCCAGCTGCAGCCCAGTACTGGGAAAAACCTCAGCACCCGGAGAAAACCCGCGTGAACACAGGGAGAACATGCAAACTCCACTCAGAAATGCCAACTGACCAGCCAGGACTTGAACCAGCAACTTTCTTGTTGTGAGGCAACTGTGCTGACTACTGAGTCACGGTGTCACCTATTTGTTACTACAATATATAAATAAAATAATAAATATTAATAATAAAACTTGTTGTTACACAATGGTTATAAAGTCCTATTTATTACAGCTACATCGATTAAAGCAAAACTATTTGACATCAAGGAAAACATTTTATATATTTTAGTCATTGATTTAAACTATGTTTTGGGGCTCTGAACACACAAATATTTCAAAACAGTTTTTTTTTCTTCATTTTGAAAAGTTTTAAAATTTGTGAAAATTACACCACCGTCATTTCTATGTAGTGAAGTACAAAATTAAAATTTTATTAAAAAGTTCAATTGCATCATTTGCATATTTATTACATGTTCTGTCCATGATCAAGCAACAGTACTTGACAAACAAATAAAAGGCGAACTACAAAATTGTAAATACAGCATTGTTAACATATGTATGTATATATATATATATATATTTAAACATTAATGAGCTTTCACATCTTTAAACGTCCCATAGACTATAAAGAAGAGATGGTATTTCAGTCTCTTTTTTAAACTACTAAATATTTTCATTCATTCATCGCAAAGAACTGGCCAATCACTTTCATGAAAAACTTTCTCAGTCATTTAAGTAACATAAATACTTTATCATTTCTGCGATCTCTAAAATTATCGAAAAAACTATTAAGGAAAGCCGTTTAAAAAATCATATATTTATATATCTGCTTTCCGTTACGCAGGCAATTTAGACCTACTTTTTCAGTACTGTGGCTAATAGGATTCCCCCAACCCCTCCTCCTGTCCTCACTCCTTTAAATGTCACATGAACAGGCACATAGAAAGCAACACAGTCAAACCCCTCCCTTTACCTGTCAACTCCCCTCTCAAGCGTCCCTTCCCATCCGCCACACTGTAGCAGTGTGGAATATTCCCTCCTTCAGAGTCTTCAGAAAAACAGCCTATTCATTTGTATGTCTCTGTGCCTCCCTCTCTTCTCAACAGAAAATAAAAACAGCTCTGGCCTGCCTTACTGGCTCACACATACTGGATTTACACCACCCACACGACTTAGTGCGTCTTCTCCAATGCCCCTGCCCCCCCCCACACTGAAAACCTGTCTTAGCTCAACAGAACTTCCTGCACTCACCCTGTCAATCATGCTCCTAAGACACACCCCATTCCAGAAACCAGCCAATGAGGTACTCTGTGAAGTACTGCATGAACTGCAGGAACAGTGACAGATGGCAAAAGGTTCAGCTCACTCTGCAGAAGGGGACCAGGCCAGAGGGAAAGCCCCTTGTAAGTAGACTTATAGAGTAACAGGAGTTGAGGAAAGGCTGCTGGGATTACAGCAGGTGATCTGACCAGAAACAAACAATCCTTAGTCTAAGCAAACACACTCTCACAGGAAAAATAAATTTCAAGTATAGCACATTTAGCTGCCATTCTTTCTCTGTAATTTTAAAATGTCATAATAATCCTTCATAGTGAAAAGGAATATGGCAGAATCATAATGATTAGCTGTACTAGCATATGTGTAAACTATTAGCTACCTAAAGATTAACTGTAACTGTCAACAACACAATGTCAGAGCTTCTGTTCCCAGTATGCACTGTGGCCTTTTTTATTTCTTTTATTGTACTATTATTTTTAATTGGCTTTTATAATAGTTGCTGTATTCTTTTGACTTTGCTAAATGTAAATTAAGAATTAAAGGAATAGTTAGTTCATCATTCATCAGTTAAGTGTTGTTGTTTTTTCCCATTTAATAGAAAATTAAGTATGCTCCAGTGTTGTTTGGACTCCAACATCATCTCTCATTTAACTGTGTATACAATTTTTTTTTGAATATCATGTGTGTGTGTGTGTGTGTGTGTGTGTGTGTGTGTGTGTGTGTGTGTGTGTGTCTTCTAGTTTTACAGGGCTGAAAAAAAGGTAAGTAAATGATTAATGCTGTCATGAGTGCGCTCAGAACTGTTTGCCGAGACTGTGGATCAAATGAAAGAATGTTGTAAATATGTTCAGTTTCTTGCACTGACTCTTTATTTAGCTTCATAATACTTAAGTGTAGAGCCACAATTAGTACATTTGTTTTACCAGTGTATACTTTAACTCTTAAAGTGCTGGTAATCATTGACATGCATGAATTACTAATTTGGGCAAGAAATCTTTAATGTTCTACTGAAGGAAGAAGAGTCAGCTATATTGGAAAGGCCAAGGGCTAATTAACAGCAGATTTACACCTTTTGGTGAACTATACCTTTAAACATGCTTCTTATCAGCCTAGTGATATGGCATTATGCTTTTGCATTTTTTTTTAAAAAGCTGTGATTTTACTGTCCATCTTATTTTTCTCCAAACTGGTATTTTCTTAGCATCTTTATGTAATGTATTGTCATAAACACACTGTTTTGTAGAAACATTTACTATCAATTGTTATTCCAAGAGAAGCAAATGAATTAAAAGTCATTGACAGAAAAAGAGCTTAATTCAAACATCTCTTAATGTAGCTCTTGGCAGGACTGAGCCTAAGCAGTGTGATATACAAAAGACTTTTAATGAGTCGCTCAAACATTTTATGCATTCAGCACAGCATAAGGGCTAACAGCACAGACTTTGCTGCCTCAAGTGGACTGTGTTACATAAATCAGAAAAACTTCAAGAGTCAACAGAGGTAAAGTTGGTTTTATATTCGCACATTCAGACTTTCCCTTTGATAATATAATTTCATAAAAGTATTATTTGCAAACAGTGAAATCATATTAGCAGCCAATGACTATCAAAGTACAACATTGTTCACAGTCAAATAAACAGTGTTAATGTTGTTTTCAAGTCACACTTGCATGCTAATTCCAATCGAATATTTAAAGTAACATGGTAAACAATATAGAGACCTTTAAATGAACGAATGTGTAAATATATAACCAACTTTACCTCTATCAAGAGTCAATGCAATGGCCAAGTAGAAAGTGCATGTGCTGTAGGCATGGTAAGATGTAGTAAACTGATTCATACTCCTTCCCTACAATTTGATTGGCCCTCTTACTACATACCTACATAATCATATAATGTAATATACAGTTATGGCTTGTTTTTTTGTTTAAAAACACGACAAATAATTACATAGAGGATCTGAGGCATGTGATATTTCACTACTACTACACTCATAAGACCATGAATGTCAACTTCTGCTTCTATTATTTGATTCATTTCTCATTCAGTTGTTCAATTAAAGTTTTTTTTATGAATGATAAATAATAGAAACTCTGCTTTATTATTATTTTTGTAATTGAAAAATGCTAAATTATTTACTAAACCATTCAGGAGCCATAAGAGCCAGCTCTAGAGTGTATCATGTGCGCATATGTATAGAGTGTATTATGTGTGCATGTGTATAGAGTGTATTGTGTGTGCATATGTATGGATTGTATCATTTGTGTATATGAATAGTGTATCATGTGTATATGTATTTTTTTTATGCAAGAAACATCTCATGGATGCATTTGGGACACATCATCAGTGATGTATCCTGGGATCATTGAGTGTTTCGGGTCTCTCAACATCATACACTCTCACCCAGGTGACCCAGCCGGGGTTGATCAAGTCCCGACTTGTGTCCCAACAGCAGTCCACGGATCTGCCCTCTTAATCCACAGCCACCTTGTGGCCTTCTCTGCTGCTTCGCTTGCGGATCGAATGGCCCTTTTCTTCGCCACGCCTGTAATGCCCAAACGACTGAGGACTTTGCAAAGTGAATGCCCTGCAAAGCCTCTGCATCCAATTTCTATGGGCTCATAGTAAGTTCTCAAGCCTCTCTCCCTGCACTCCTCCACTAATTCCTGGTACTTAGCGCGCTTCCTCTCATTTGCTTCTTCAATACGCTCTTCCCACGGCACTGTAAGCTCCAGAATAATTAGCTATCTTGAAGCTTCTGAGATAGCTATAATGTCTGGACGGAGACGTGTTGCAGCGATGTGATGAGGAAACCACAGCTGTTTTCCCAGGTCGACCTCCAGCTGCCAGTCCGAGGCTTTGTGGAGGCCTGTTGTTAATTGTGGGAGGGCCCGGGGTTTTTCTCCAGCTTTGATGAAGTGGACTGCCTTCCTTGGAGCACGATGGTTCTTGCTCGTGTTAATAGCTGAAGCTAAGCTCGCAGCAATTGCCTTAAGCACCTGGTCATGGCGCCAACGATAGCGACCATCAGCCAGAGCCTTGGGGCAACTGCTGAGGAGATGTTCTAGAGAGCCTCTTCCAGAGCAAAGAAGGCAGGAAGGTGTCTCATTCTTTCCCCAAACGTGGAGGTTCGATGGGCTTGGCAGTACATCGTAGACAGCTTGTACTAGGAAACGGACACGTTGGAAATCCGCCTGCAAGATGTTCGCCCAGGTGATCCTACGTTGCAGTGTATTCCACCTGGTCCATGCTCCCTGCTGCCGGAGTCCTACCACCCTACTGACTCTCTCTTCCTCCACACTTGCTCGAACCTCTCCCTGGAGTAGGTGGTGTCTTTCCTTGCCTTTGACCTGGCTTACTAAGGTCTTTGGAAAATAGCCCAAGCCCGCTCTGCCTGTCGCTACAGTACCCACCAGAGCCTTTTGTTGCAGGCGTGACTCTGCCACCTCCACTGCTTTCCCTGCATTCCATTTCCTGCCTGTCCTCACCTCGATGCAGGCTGATGACACCTTGCCATCTCTAGAGTCCCTGTACTGTAGGGCTTCTCTGGTGCGTACAACCATGAATTACTCTGTGAGGCCACTGAATGGTAGCTGCAAGGTGTTACTTGTCCCGTATAGTGCAGCACTGGTAAGACTGCGTGGGAGGCCCAACCATTTTCGAAGAAAGCCACTGATCTTCCTTTCTAGGGACTCAACTGTTGACATTGGGACTGCATAGATCAGCAGAGGCCACAAAACTCGGGGCAGAATTGAATGCTGATAGATCCAGGCTTTGAATCGACCAGGCAGGCCGGATTTGTCAACCTTCGCCAGCCAAGCTCCAAGTTCTTTTTTGGACTTCTGGATGGCTGCAGAGTCTTTTAGGCTGGAGTCAAAGAGCTTCCCCAAACTCTTGACAGGTTGCTCCGTGATGGTTGGGATGACACTTCCTGAGATGGAAAAATGGAACTTGTCAACCACTTTCCCCTTCTTCAGCACCATGGACCTAGACTTGAAGGGCTTAAAACTCATTCTAGTCCAGGCGATGAGTCTCTCAAGTCCTTGTAAGATCCACCTGCTCCCTGGGACCATTGTTGTTTTGATGGTAAGGTCATCCATATATGCTCTAATAGGGGGCTGTCGCACACCTGACTTAGTTAAGGGCCCTCTGCATTCCACTTCGGCTGACTTGACCACCATGTTCATGGCGAGAGCGAAAAGAATAACTGAGATGGTGCAGCCTGTTATTATTCCTTTCCCGATGCGATGCCAGCTTGATGTTTCTGACCCAGATGTGACCCGCATCTTGAAATTATTGTAGTAATCCAGAATTAGATCCTTAATCTTACTAGGAACGTGGTGGCGGTGTAGAGCGAGCTCAACCAGCTTGTGGGGTATGGACCCATAGGCATTTGCCAAGTCCAACCACAAGACAACCAAGTCCCCTCTGTTCTCATGGGCCTCTCTGATGAGTTTTGTAACTACTCCAGTGTGTTCCAAGCAGCCGGGAGCTCCAGGAATCCCTCCCTTCTGCACTGAAGGGTCAATATAATTGTTCTCGAGGAGGAACTCTGTCAGTCTTCGTGAGACGATGCTGAAAAACACCTTCCCTTCAACACTCAATAGAAAGATGATTCGAAACTGGTTGATGTTTTTCGAGTTTTCCTCTTTAGGAATCCACACTCCCTCGGCACACCTCCACTGCTCAGCAACTCTTCCTCGTTGCCAAATCACCTTCAAGATCTTCCACAGATGCAGGAGAAGCCCTGGGCAGCACTTATAGACAAGGTAAGGTATGCCACTAGGGCCTGGAGTAGATGCTGAGCGAGATGCCTTAATGATTTCCTTGAACTCCTTCAGACTTGGCCCCCTCAAACTGAACTCTCTTGCTGGAGGGGTGGGGCTGATAAGAGCTTTGTTGGGCTCCAGCTCCTGCTCT